TTTTGAATACTTTTCCCCTAATATGAACCCTGTTTCAGTAAAACTACTTATAACAATTATAATTTTTTCCGCAAAATTGGTGGAAGTGCCGGGATAATAATTGGGTACATTTATAAGAATCTATGATAAGAATTTATAACAAATACGTACATGTATAAACAATTAAATTCTGAAAAACTCATGTTCTTTCTCAGGTATATTACGATCTGAATAGACTGAAAGGTCAAACACAGCTTTGAACGAAGATAATTTGGTACATTTTTCATAGATTTTAGAAACTGTAATATTTTATATATAACTGTCACTTGCGTTGTTATTTTAAAAGGTACAGAGAAAATAAACATAGATTAAAACTCCCTTCGGTGGGATTTTAAACCTTTTTTTTTTTTGGAAAAAATGTTGTTTTTCTTCATATAAATGGAAAATATTATTTGTGTACTTATTTGTGGAAATTAAACAGTGTAAAGAAAATGTAATATTAAATTGGTGAGTCATTTTTCTTTTGTGGCAATTTCGATTAATCATAATATGAATTATTAAATACAGCTAAAACTAATATCAGCCCAATATGCTCACCTTAATTTCCGTTTCGTTGCCGTACCAGCAATAAAGGAAGAGCTCACAAATTATGGCACCTAAATATGCCAAATGTGACAAACTGGTGCTGCTGAATGGATTAACCTTTAAAATCACATTTTCAAATTTACATAAGGAAAGAAAACTAACTCACCAGACTCATCTGGAACAGAGACACGGCGATAGCTATGGTACTGGTAACAAATTGCCCTAGTACGATCATTTCAAAAAATTCGTTACTACTTTTAGCAAAACTAAAAAGGTTCTTTTATTTAGAAATTTTCTAATCAATTCTTACATACCGTAAAATTTCTTTGTGATGCTTAATACAAGATATCAACGTTTCTGAAAAGTCAGATTCAGTTTTATACATTATTTCCTTCAGATCTTGTATTTGTTTTAAGTTAGTACATAACATATCACATTGCAGACCAACGTACACCATCAGAGCTGCTACTATCAAGTCAATACTCACAATAGTCAAACTAAAGTAATACGAAACCATACTTTGATAAAAAAATGTGAGTTCATAAAAAGGCGAAATTTTAGTGTTGTAAGGATACCAAGCCAAAATTGGTAGTCGTGCTGTTTTAAAAGAACTGTCGATGAATGGTCCAATCACCCATGTTGATACAGAGATAGCAGCCGACGTACAAAACACGTTAAATGTCAAACTCCAAAATTTAAAACTTGTCCCTGCCAAGTAAATTTGATTGGCGTTTTTTGGTTGAAATAAGTTTATGTTCAAATTTGTCATTAGCTTTTTAAACAGTCGGATATTTTTAGCGAATTCGTATATCTTAAAAGATGTCAGAAGAGCGGACACTAATAGAACAGTTGTTTGAGTCAGAGATTCCAAGTTATCGTTTAGAAAGTAGACGGTTCCAATCAGGGAAGCGTTGTGACTGCCTATGATGACCACCCAAGTAAAAACAGCGTAGATTGTGTACAAGTCAAGCTTGTATGTTTCGTGTTTAGGCCATAGTCCGAATATTCGTAGCAATGTTACGTTTTTTTGTAGTGGTAGCTTCCAGTCAAAGGGCTGCATTACGTATATATTAAGAGAACACTGCTGGAGGTCTTGTAAAAATATTGCCTTTTCTTTGTACACCCGAAAGTTTAAACTTAATCAGGAAAAATTGTAAACTTTTGCTCTGTCTATATTTGAACTGATTTATATAAACCGAAAATGTATTAAAATTTAAACTATGCTTGAGCAGCTTTGATACTAATTTCAGGGCACTTGTAAAGTTTGCATGAATAATATAACGATCCTTATAAATTTAAAACCTTTGATTAAGCGCTTGTGTATTTAATTTCACAAAATAGACATCTCTGCTATAACTTTTGTCGTAGTGTTGTATCCCCACCGAACGTGGTGCGTATATACGCATGCTGTACAAAGTTATACACGCAGTTGCTCAATAACCGACATGATTACGCAGAAAAGTGTGTTAAAACAGTGCTGTTCAGAACAGCAGCGTAAGTAAAACGTTTTGCTCTGGTGTCATTTATTCTCCCGTAGTTTAATTTTCGTAGTTAATTATTCCATAATTTTCGTTTTAGGAATAGACATTCCTGTTCCAAAAAAATATCTGCCGCAGAATCGGCGTTTGTTTAAATTGTGATGTGTAAGAATTTGGTGTGTAAAAAACATAGTGAAGAAGATGTGGAAATGTGAAATGTAGTAAAAAAGCGAAACAATAGTGAAGTTCAATTTAACTTCAACTCGTCTATTTTTCCTACGTACCACTTGTGTTTATGTTTAATGATGTCTAACGTATTATGTAATGTGTTGCCAAAATTATGTAACAGGTTAGATATTAAAGTAAGGAAGCTATTTCAACATTCTGGTAAACTGTTAAAATTTATGTCCAAGGTATTAACGAAACTATATTGATTCGCCTCTTCTTAGAAACATATTAAATTGATCTTTATCCATCAATTCAACGGTATTACTTATGTTTTGATATTTTTTTATATTTTTGGGGGTAATTACATGGGAAATTAATTTATAAACAAACATATATTACTAAGTCAGATTATGATTAAACTAGTTAAATATGTGTTTATTTAAAAAATCGATCGGAAATAAATAAATCTCCGGATTAGTAGTATTATCTGCAAGAATTTCTTAAACAGAGATATGGTTTTCCAATATGTCTGTGTTGAAACTATAAATCAATTATTCTAAAATTTTATGTTTGTGTGACGTTCGATAAGGTTCTTGAAAAGGTATTTTATTATACGAAAATCTTAGGTTAAGTTATACCACTCTGTGTTGTTATTTGGCATTGACTAAATGTTAGATTTATTGTGTTCATATTTCACAATGTTTAGAAAAAATTAAGGCCAAGTCGATCCAATACAACTCATCTTTATTTAAAGTAAAATTTATGTAAACGAATATAAATACCAGTCACTCGAATTCTTGAAATTCCAAATCAGTTCTTTCGAGGCTATTCGGTGACGTCAATATGCAAAAGTGTGACATCAGAGAATTGATTCTACGAGTAACTATACTGTTTTTATTAAGTCATTATATCAAGCTAAGAATATTATATTTTATTTGTTGTTTATATCTTTCATGTCAGTTTCTTCTTCAATTTTAAACAAATTTTTTGTCGTACCCCTAAATTTTAATTTTTATAAATTTCTATTGAGGAAACGAAAAAAATTAAATTTCTTAGTTTTACATTAGCAAGACGAAAATTATTTAATTTCATGCTTGGCCTTAAACATGATGTATAGGTTTTTTTGGATTTTGTCCCTGTTTGTATGTGTATTTTATGTTTAATCAATGAAGAATGAAGAAAACTATTAAAGCACATAACATGTTTTTTAGCCAATAATAAATATATTTGGGAAGATATTTTTTTAAAAGTATTTGGATACAAATATGCCTACCTTAAATTCTACCTCGTTTCCGTACCAGCAGTACAGAAACACTTGAACAATAATTTCGCTTAAAGACGCTAAATGTGACAAACTTAGATAATGAATTAAGCTTTGAAAATTATATAGAAGGAAGCCAGAAACTCACCAAATTCATTTGAAACAGAGACACTGCAGCAGCTATAGTACTGGTAGCAAATTGTCCCAATAAAGTCTTATCAAAAAATTCGTTACTGCCTTTGGCATAACTGAAAATAATCCTTGTTCAAAAAAATTTAAACTGTTTTCCAAATTACCGCAAAATTTGTCTGCGATGTTCAACACACGAAACAAATTTTTTTGAAAAGTTGTGCTGAGTTTTGCTTGTTGATTGCAGTTCTTTTAAATTATCACATAACATATCACACTGAATTCCAAAATGCGTCATCAATGCGGCTATCAGCAGGTCGATATTTACAATACCGGTACAAAAATAACACGAAGCCACACATTGGTAAAGATACGTGAGTTCATTAAAGATCAAAATTTTAACATTGTAGGGATACCATTCCTCGATACATAATTCTCCCATTTTAACCGAATTGTCCAAAAACGGCAGAATCACCCATGATAATGGCGAAATTCCAACCATTGTACAAAACAAACAAAACGTCAGTGTCCAAAAGGTCAAACTTTTCTGTCCTCTGAGCAACCTTATGCTTTTTGTGAGTATGTATACCTTAAACGATCCTAGAGTGTTTCTCACTAGGATAATAATTGTCTGAGTAAAATTTTCTAAATTATCGTAGGTAAAATAAATTGTTGCATTGAGGAAGGTGTTGTGGCTACCTTTTAGGAGCACCCAGGCAAAAACTGCATAGATTGTATACATGTTCGTCTTGTAGGTTTCGTGTTTGGGCCACAGCAACACTGATCGTAAAACTGCTATATTATTTTTTAATGGTAGACTCCAATCAAATTGTTGCATTTTTAACCGAACTTTAGACCAATGTATCGAGAAAAAAACAATATTTAACTTCGTACGTTGATATGCACGCTTAAAATTTTAAAGTTTGACTGTTCAAGGGTTGTTTGTGTTCTAGGGGTGGTGTATTTATTTTATTAAAATTTCACAATACTTGTTGGGTATTTAGAATAATTTCAGACATTATATATAATAGTGCCGTTGAATGTAAATAAGCACTTTGTTTCTGCTGGAATCATATTAAATATTCAGAACACTTATTATCAGGTAATGAATAAATTAAACGAAAATTGCGAGAATGTCCTAATGCCTTGAAAAAATAGGGACAAAACATTTAATGCATTGCCAACAAAGGATAATCTATATTTCTATAATTTGATTTAATAATAGACTTCCTACTGCAGTTTATGCGCCACGGGATTGGCTTAATTGTATTGTAGGGTTTTAGAAATTTTCAGAGAAGTTGAAACTTTCCCGAATACATCAGTAATAATCGATGTAAATGAAAGTAGGAGATTGCAGCATCGAAAAATTGTTTTAAAGTTCGCTTGTCACTGAAGCATAATCAGTTCAGTTTCTTAGAAAAACGATAGGTTTTAGAGTAATAAATATAAAACTAAAATCAGGCAAAACTAGATAGAAATGTGCTTACCTTCAGTTTTATTTCGTTACCGTACCAGCAATACAGAAACACTTGAAAAACCACAGAACTCAAATAAGCAAGATGTGACAAACTGGTACCACTGAACGGATCAACCTTTAAAAAACGTTTTGAAATTTACACGGAAATAAGAGATAAACTCACCAAACTCATTTCAAACAGGGACACCGCAATGGCTATCGTACTGGTAGCAAATTGCCCCAGTAAAATCTTATCAAAAAACTCGTTACTACTTTTGGCAAAACTAAAAAATATTTGTTGTCCAAAAAACTTTAAACCCTGATCTAAATTACCTCAAAATTTGTTTGTGATGTTGAACACATGTTATAATATTTTTTGAAAAGTCATCTTCAGTCTTTCCTGTAGACTTTAGGACTGGTAATTTTTTAAAACTATCACATAATATATCACACTGAACTCCGATATGCACCATCAAAGCTGCTATCATCATGTCGATATTTGCAATAGCGGCACCAAGGTAGTAAGAAGCCAGACATTGGTGGATATACGCGAGTTCATAAAACGGTGAAATTTTTATGTCGTACGGATACCAGGATATGATTGGTAATCGTCCTGTTCTGAACGAATTATCCAAAAATGGTGAAATCATCCAAAATGTGACGGAAGCTGCAGCCAGCATATTAAACACAGCGTATGTCATTTTCCACAAATTCAGACTTATCCATGCCAAATCAATTTGATTTTGATTTTTCGGTTGAAATAAATCGGTGTTTAAATTGATCATTAAACCTTTGAGCAGCCTTATGTTTTTTGTAAATATGTATATCTTGAAAGATGTTAAAACGTCGGTTACTGTTATAACAATTGTTTGGGTAAAGGTTTCTAAATTATCGTAGGTGAAGTAAATGGTCGTAACTAGGAACAAGTTTTGGCTGCCAGTTAGGAGCACCCAAATAAAAATGGCGTAAAATGTGTACATGTTTTTCTCATATGCTTCGTTTTTTGGCCACAGTCCAGCTAATCGTAACACTGTCACATTATGTTTTAATGGCAACCACCAGTCAAAGTGCTTCATTTTTATAAAATTTGAGTAAAATTTGTTAAAACATGCCAGTTTTCTTCTGGAATAACTTAGCTTTGATGAGTACCTTTAAGATTTTAAACTATGACTCTTGAACTTTTGCCACTAGCACGGGTAATTTATACAATCTATTAAAATTTATAAATTATTCTTTCATTTTTTGCGTTTTAGTTGATGCCATTAATTAGGGTTTTATTAAAATTTAAGTAACTTTTGGAGTTTAGCGATAATTTCAAACATTATAACCGTGTTTGAATGAATAATGTGAAAAAAGTTAGTGGTTTGAGAATTCTAATTAAAAGCTTTGACATAGCGAGTTTATATAACTCAGGTTACTTTTCTGCTTGTGTAGTATCCCCGCCAACTTGCTACGTTTCTCACACCCACGCATAATGTATACACTCGTCAGTTGCTTTTGCGCGTCGGTGATAGATCTAGAACTGTTTAACCAGAGTGCTGTCTAGATCACATCAGACGAACAATAATGTAAGTGATTTTTTTGTTGGTTATTATTTTCGCATGGTTTTTTACTACTTTAGTTATTTTTATCATTTATAATATTATGGCTTTTAATTTTACGAATTTTATTCCTTGATTCTTCTCCTTTCAGGAATAGAATTCCTATTGGAAACCCTACAAACCTAGTTAAGGTACAAATGGGGTTGTGATTTGTGCAAAAATTTTGTGTGTAAAAACATAGTGAAAGAATATGAACTTCAGCAAATGTGCACATTTAATGGATTCTAGGTACTTATTTATTCTGTAATAGAATTAATTCTGAAATGTAATTTACGTTTTCAGGCGCACACTTGATCCTAGACGCATTGAAAAAACAGAGTTTTTTTGTCACATAATTCGTGTTTTAGAGCTTACAAAAACCTAACCCTTTCAAAACGTTGATGACATAATTTAAGAAAATACGGGACAGACTGAAAATTAATAAATGAAGAGGTTCATTTTATTGATTATTTCAGAAATGGGTCATCAGATTTCCACGAAATTGTAAAACCACTTTAACGAATTATACAAAATTTTGTATGCTCATCTGCTTCCGAAAATTGTACCGTCTTGAAGTGTTGTTGTCTGAATATTGGCCACTCGTAAATAATTGTTGTTGTAATTTGACTTACGCGTATGACAGTTAAATTTCACGTTTTGTCTCAAGAAATACGTGTAAAATTTCTTCCTAATTTAGAGCTCATACCAAAAATATATTACAGTAGACGCCGCTTAATATGATCACGGTTAATGTTATCAACCGCTTAGTGTGATCAAAATAGCTTGGAACGGCCCCAAGCAATACCAATGCATTACAGTTTTTCCGTTTATTGTGATCAATATTTCGCTTATTGTGATCAATCTCGAAATTTTTATACAAGCGGGAATTGCTTTTTTGGAAAAACAAAACGACTGAAACTAGTATTGTGTTTTAATGAACATTCATTGCCCGCAAAAACTGCATTCGCTTATACTACTCACTTTATACAACCACAATCAGTGACAGACTTTAGTAATTAGTGCGTTTTCGTCTTTTGAATGAACGAATTTTTGCTGTTTTAAATTTGAGTAGTACTTAAGTAAAAATGCTCACGTCGAAACGACGAGATTTCAGCTTATCAGAGAAAAAAAAATCTCAGCCCTTTCTTAACAAACTTCTAAAACAACCAAAGGAAATCGGGGGTTCCTTTCTCAAAGTTTAAAATAAATTCTAATGTTTATGTACCTACCAGCATAATAAACACTGTCTTGTTCATGATTTTGCTTTATTTCAAGTTTTACTGTCTTTGATGGTGGTTTTCGCTTATTATTATCAGTCGGTTAGTGTGATCAATTTGTCTGAGTCCCGAAGTGATCACATTAAGCGGCGTCCACTGTATCTTAAACTTTATTAATAAACATTACCTTATTGCTAAGTTTTTAATTAATTTTTATTTTTTGGAATTGCTGACTGTAAATTAATTTGTAAAACATACTTTTCACTTGTCTCCATAAAAACTAATGTAACCTGTCTGAAATGGTCGAATTAAATAAAAATTCGCGTCGTTACTCATTAAATAAGTGAAATAGATTTTAATTGTAAAATTTAGTCTGATATCTAAATTAAATATGTAAAAATCGATGATTAAAGAAAATACTGTAAAAATCATCATTTGTAGCGAAACTCTCTTTCAGTATTTGGTCCACAATTCGCAAAATCTGAAAATATTATTTTATCCGCTCCACATTTTCTGTGTTCTATGGTATACTTTTTGGAATATTGTATTAGTTTTTTCAAAATTTTTTGAGTACTGCGATGTCAGCAGATTTGAATAATTCCATTTTAACAACTAGTAATTCTCAATTAAAACTTTTTATAGGTCTGGTGAACAAGCATACAGACTTTTAATTATATAGTTTTTTCGACTGAGACATTTGAGGCGTATCGATGTGAAGGATGTTCATAATGACAGATGATAGTGTTAAGGTAAAGCAACTAAGAAATAATCGTTTAAGCTTTAATAAATATTTACAGAACACAAGCTTCTGTGCTTTTAGAAAAAAAAAATCCAGAGGTCTTCTCGAAATATAGCGATGGAACTTTCCAAACCAGAAAAAACCAAAAAAAACCGTCTAGTAAGATGTGAAATTTATTTTTAAAACAAGAATATTTACATTTGATACTTTATTCAACAGTCGTTTAGCCGCAAATGTCCAGTTGATTAATACGAACAGTTAACGCGTTGGTACTACCAATATAATTTCAGAAATTACTAGGCGACCTTTTTTTTCATGAAAAGTTTTATCGAACATTGCATGAGAACAATTTCAGCCGTACAGATTGAAATTTGGAAGACGAAAATCAGAAATTCTACCTAAAATCTGCAGAGATATATCTCTCAACAACAAGACACAGATTTCGATGAAAATTTCATTACCAATCGACGTTTTGTAAATATTAGCACCTAGAAATGGTACACAAGTTTATAAATAACCATTTTCGGTTGTATAATACCTTCATCAGACAGCTAAGTTTATAAAACGATTTTTTTAAGGTATCAAAAAAATAATTCCTTTCCTTAATTTGGCTTTGGTCGTCTATTAAAGCATTAAAATACGTGCTTATCTTCAACTCCAGCTTATTTCCGTACCAACAGTAAAGAAAGACTTGTACAATAATTCCACTTAAATATGTTAGATGTGTCAAACTGGTACCACTTAATGGATCAAACTTTAAAAGTCTTTTTGGAATTTGCACAGAAAAGAAAAAGCATACTCACCAAACTTAATTGAAAAACGTACGTTGATGTACACGCTTAAAATTTTAAAGTTTGACTGTTCAAGGGTTGTTTGTTCTGGGGGTTGTGTATCCATTTTATTAAATTTTCAAAATACTTGTTGGCTATGTAGAATAACTTTAGCATTATAAAAGTGCCGTTAAATGTAAATAAGCACTTTGTTTCTGCCCGAATCATACAAATTATTCAGAACACTTTTTATCAGATAATGAATAAATTAAACGAAAATTGCGAGAATGTCCTAATGCCTTGAAAAAATTGGGACAAAATATTTAATCCTTTGTCAACTAAGGATATTCTATATTTTTGCAATTTAAAATAATGCTAGACTTCCTACTTTAGGTGCCACTGGATTGGCTTAATTTTATTGTACGGTTTTAGAAATTATTCTGGAAGTTGAAACTTTTCCGAATACATCAAGATAGTAGACGATAAATGTAAATGAAAGTTAGATCACAGCATCGAAAAATTGCTTTCAAGTTTACTAGATAGAAGTTCGCTCGCCTCTGAAGAATAATGAATTAAACGAGTTCAGTTTCTTAAAAAATATATAAATTTTCGAGTAATGTATATGAAAAACAGGTACTTCAGGAATATACAGGTTTAAATAAGTTTCTAAGCCCGTTTATCGAAAATCAGCCAAAACTATGTGAACTATAATTGTGCTTACCTTAACTTCTGTTTCGTTACCGTACCAGCAATATAGAAGCACTTGAAAAATCATAGTACTTAAATAGACAAGATGTGACAAACTGGTACCGCTCAACGGATCAACCTTTAAAAACCATTTTGAAATGTTTACGGAACGAAGAAGTAAACTCACCAAACTCATTTCAAACAGGGACACTGCAATAGCTATCGTACTGGTAGCAAATTGTCCCAGTAAAATCTTATCAGAAAACTCGTTACTACTTTTGGCAAAACTGAAAAATAAAGATTTATTGCCCAAAAAGTTTTAAACTGTAATCTAAAATACCTCAAAATTTGTCTGTGATGTTCAACATATACTATAATATTTTTTGAAAAGTTATCTTCAGTCTTTCTTGTTGACTTTAAGTATTGCAATTTTTTAAAATTGTCACATAATATATCACACTGTATTCCGACATGCATCATCAAAGCTGCTATCATCAAGTCGATATTTGCAATAGCGGCAGCTAAGTAATAAGAAGCCAGACATTGGTGGATATATGCGAGTTCATAAAACGGTGAAATTTTAATGTCGTAGGGATACCAGGATATGATTGGTAATCGTCCTGCTCTGAACGAATTGTCCAAAATTGGTAAAATAAGCCAAAATGACACCGAAGCTGCAGCCATGGTATTAAACACGGCATATGTCAT